TTGATATCTATGATCAAGGGAAGAAGACCCAAGCGTGAGATTTTTATATGAGTGTGATATCCCACAGGCATCATGGTGCATGGTATATGGAGGGCACTGCCCACAGATCCCCCCAAAGTGAAAACTTGATAGGTGGGCTGGGTGGGAGTGGCTCTATCATTATTACCTTGGTGATTATTTCATTGGTGTTAGACTGCAAAGCTCCTAGGCTCCCATCCCCCCTTTCTGCCCTCTTCCCTTCCTTCCTTCTTCTATTTCCATCTTTTTAGCTTGTATGACAAGGATCATGTGCATACTAGGCTAATACTCAATCATGTTGGACTAGCTCTTTGGCCAGGTGTAGATGAAGAGGGCTGAACGAGGGCCAGGAGCTCCTATCAGGCAGGTTAGTGACAGCATACATGCCTGTCCTGGAAGAAAGCTGTCTGACACATCTGAACACAGCCTCAGACAGAAGGTAGGAGTGTTTCTGCAAGAAAATGTGGATGTCTTGAGAACCCGAATCGATGGCAGCTGCTGATCCCTAAAACTGAGGAGACAGAACTTCTGCTGGGCTGAGCTACCACCGGCAACTCAAACTACTCAATTCTTAAGCTAGGGGAATAATTGGACCTGTGGAAGGCCACAGCTGCCAGCTCCAGCATTTAGCTGCTACAGAGCCACCACTCAAATTCCCAACTTCATGCTGGCATGCTGCCTCTACACTCTACAATAAGCCCACAAACCCAGCCTTTTTAGGTTTCTGTAGCCATCATGGCACCACACCAAAACACCAAGTCCCAGGCTTCATTGACTCCACACCCCTGGGGCAGTGGCTCTCTAGGACAGACAGTGAAGGGAGTTCAGGTATGGTCATAGTTGCATCGCATGGCTCCACACCTGCATGGTCATCAGATAGGCATAGGCCACCTGAGACTCAGAACCTCCTAAGGTCCTTTCTCAGATTTGTGGGGTCCTCTGAGGCAGGGTATCCCCATAAGTGTTCTGCTTCTACAAGAGCTTCCTCAGCTCCATGGCTTCAATCCAGAAACAAAGCTAAGTCCCTGATCATTTTCTACTCTTGCACAAATGAGTCTCACATAGCCCAGTCTGGCCTTATGTAGCCAAGGGTGACCTGGAACTTCTAACCCTTCTGCCTCCACTTCCTTACGGGCATGCATTACCACATCCACTATATATGGTATGTGGATGGAATCCAGGGCACAGTGCATGCTAGACAAGCATTCTACCAACTAAGCCATATCCCCTGCCCAACAACTACATCTAAAAAGCTTTTGAGGTAGGAGGAAGAGAGGGCTTTAAAACAAAGGAAGTATTCACTTTAGAGTAAACCACTAGGCTCAAAGTCAACACTGGCCTTCTCGGAATCCCTGCTGGGCTGGATGGAGGTGTCTTAATGGCCTGTTCTCTAAATTCTCACTGGTTCCTCTTATTCTTGTTTATTCACTTGTTTGTGTGAGGCTGGCCTATTGAGCAAGAGGGCAGCAGGCTTGGCAGGCACTAGAGCACTGACTACAGCCACACTGGTTCCTCTGCTTCCCCTCCAGGCCTTTTCTAGTCTTCTGCAAAAGGAATCATTGCTTTCTCCGTCTTGGCTCTTGCTGCCCAGGTTGGAGTTTCAAACAAGCTTTCACCAAGTAATTCATCCAGTCATTTACACACACACACACACACACACACACACACACACACACACTGGTGGGGGGGAATCCCTCAAGAAAATTCCAGTGCAACTTCTTAATAGAATAGACTTTTAAATTCATTATATATGTGAATACAAAAATTCAGTGCCCCACTTGGAGATCAGTGTCTAGATTGTCCCCTTCATATTGTAAGTCACATTAAAAGATACACATTCCAGATTCAGAACAAGAGGATCATACTTTAAACCACTGTGCCCATTCCTGTTCTTGTGCTCCACACAAGGATGTTCAGGGACAGCCCTAATTTGATGTTGAAGTAACCATCTTGTTCTGACTCTCCAGAACTCTACATTCTTTTGTGTTTACTTAGACACTTCTTGGCCTTCTATCTCACAATACATATCCACCTTGGCAACACAAATGAGACTTCCATGACCCTGACCATGGTCCAGGTGTATTAAGTTTATACAAACATAATATAAAATAAGCTAACAGAAGAAGGTATAAGTAAAAAATAATCACTGTTTATGTCTGAAATAACTACATCCAAGAATGGATGTTTCAAGGACTGTCTGACCCTCACCTAGCTTTAATTATGATGTTTTGTGAGTTTTGCCTTTTAATGCTGTCCCCCTGAGCTTCAACCAAGAGAGGTGTTGGCTTACTTGGTTGCCTACCAAAATTAAAGGACTTGTATAGTCTTAATTGGGTTAATCTGTGTGCTTGTGTGCATCTTTCTCCTGTGGATTATTTCAATGTGTGGACCATGAATCACTTCATGTCCTTAACACTATTAGAAGAGGGCTCAACAGGGGAGGCAGAGTGGAGTGGCTAGCTGGGCTGGGGCCAGAATATGTGTGATGCTCTCATCATGCCAAAGGCAGGGACCTCCCCCATAACAAGTGCACATAAATACTATTTATGAGAGATGAGTGAGAAAGGCTCAGGCATTGGGTTGTGGTGTACAGATTTGAAGACTTCTTTTTGTTTGTTTGTTTGTTTGTTTGTTTGTTTGTTTGAGACAGAGTTTCTCTGTGTAGCTTTGGAACCTGGCACCCACTCTGTAGACCAGGCTGGCCTCGAACTTACAGAGATCTCCCTGCCTCTGCCTCCAGAGTGCTGAGATTAAACGTGTGTGCCAAAAACATTGAGGTGATAGGATACACCCCAACTGTAAAGTGGCAGGCCTGTTGGTCCTAAGCTGTTTTCCTGGCATTGGCGCCCCTGCCATGGGCTCTCATCAGTTCAAATTCCTCCCTCTCATCCCCACTGTAGATCTGCCTGATCAGAACCTTGTGGCCTAGAGGTAGATAACGCAACCCAACAAGCTTCTAGGTGGAGTAGAGAGCTGCTGTACAGATGGACTGGATAAGCATTTGATCTTTTTGGTGATTATGACGCAAGTGGGCGGGAACTGTCCATGAACAGAGGGGATGCTATGTAAACTCTCCCACCGTGGGCTCAGCACAGGCTGGAATGACAGAGCGGAGTTGCAGAGAAAAGAGAAAGAACACCAAGGGTGGGAAGAGAGGAGCGGGCTGTCAGCCGGAGCAACAGTTGACATCCCTTTCACATCTTTCCCCACTGGCTCTCAGCCCAGCCCCAGCCACATGTGCGCGCATGCCCATGCGCATGTGCATATTCACTCTCGCCCTCAGGTCGCTTTGCTCCTGGCCTCATGATTCACTGATTACAGGACTGGTTTGCTGAGCTGACTATTGCATATCTCTCATTACCTCTTAACCACAAGAGCCGCGGCCTCGTTATCTTTTGATGTTTCTTCCTTTGCTGACCCATCACTGATTGAGCTCATCCCATGTGCCAGGCATTGGAATCGAGCATAGTGAGGACAGAATGTACAGAAGTCATCCCAGCTGAATGAAGGAGGCAGGATGGGTGGGGAGTGTTATAAAGCGCTCCATTAGCTGGGAGAAGGAGAAAGAGCAGAAGAGACACAAATTCCAACACAGAGAAGACACCCCTGACACCTTTGGCTGGCCCTATGGTTGTGACCTCCAGAGAAAGGGGGTCTGACTAGAGATGGCTTTTGCAAGCCTAACAGCTGCGCTAGAAGTCTAGGCATTGACAGACATTTTCCAAGACAAAGCGGGGAGCTCATGATAACGACGTACAAGTTCTGTTGAGAGTAGTCATCACAGCCAGGACAGTGGACACAGGGATCTTCTGTGTCATCCAGGACCTGTGAGCCCTAGAGCACTAGGGGCCATCAGAGGTTTAAAACTGAGGCATGGCATACCCCAGGTTCTGATGTATAAACAGTCTATGTAGCCTCATAGTAGAGAGGACTAGAGGACGGAGAACTAAAGGCTATGGGTGAAGAGGCTGGTGCTAAAGTCTAGATGGAATAGAGAAATAGGGTGTGAAGTGGCACTTGCTGAGAACTGCCTCAAACACAAGAACTGTGTGTGTGTGTGGGGGGGCGGGTCAGCATCTCCATAGGGGATGAAGCATCCCTCTGCCTTCTGCCCAAGGCCTGTTCCGGTCAGACCACACTCTCATGTATCAACTCAGCTCCCTGCTCCTGCCTTGAGGCAGGGATGGAGCAAGTCAGCAGGCAATGCCTTCTTCCTTCCCTTTACTTGTCTTTACCAAACATAACACATCTAAATTTCTACACCTATGCTGTAGAGATGTAAGCATCTGCGGACAGAGACGCCCTGTTAGCACTTCAAAAGGGAGGTCTGCCTGGACTGTGGAAATACTTGGAATCATTGAGGAAGAATTCTCAGGATACAATACTGATGACATGTTTGTAAAATTATGTTTGTCTAATAATAAAAGGTTGAGAAACAAATACAAGGTTATGTGAAAAAGGTTTGAGTTTAAAGGTATTTCTCCCCATGTAACACACATATATACATAAACACATATATGTGTGTGTACATATGTAGCTACATGTATATAAATATATGCATACACACAAGTGTAAAAACACATACACATGTGTATATATGCATGTGTACACTGTTAGAGACATGATTCACCTATATCTGCGGCACGTACACATCTGTGCACATACATTTCATGCACACACACTTATTTCATTAGTGGTGATAAGTCACCATAAAGGCAACATTACAGAGAGCTTTGCACTTGATTGGCACTCACTAATGTTTGCTGAATTAGAACAAACCTCTGCCTTGCCCATTCTGATTTTTATCGTTGACCATTGCTCTCAGGAGTTAATGTTTGAACCTGGCCATAAAGAAATCGACAACCACTGACCTATGGCCTATATTTGATGAGGAAGAAGCCCCTTATAAAATAGCCACCAGTGGGTGGCCTGGCAGACAGAGCTGCTGTGGTCAGCTGTGCAAAGGAAGCCTCATCGCCACCATGAACTTCTCCGGCAAGTACCAACTGCAGAGCCAAGAGAACTTTGAGCCCTTCATGAAGGCAATGGGTGAGTGCTGGATGGGACACCAGAGCTGGTGCAACGAGAAAGAGGGTCTAGCCCTGCCATCAGCAGCTAGTCAAGGTCTGATATTGAGGTGGAAGAAGGGTCCAGGCTATCCCAAATTGAGGCGTGCTATAGTGACTTTCCTGGTCTCTTCCTCACTGGACAAGGTCACTGGGAGCTGTGGAGATGACACTGAACTGGAATGATGTACGTGTGTCTACTGGTTCATGGCCTTATTCATTCATTCATTCATTCATTCATTCACTTTTCTGGTAAATATTGGTTCAAGACCAACCACAACTCAAGCACTGTGCTTGTACAAACACCAGGGAGACAGAATGTGATAGGCTACAACCCTGACCAATGTTTGGAGACAAAGCTACAGTAGTGACCAACTATTTGGAGATAAATGCAATGAAGTGTCCCTTGATATGTATGACTTTATACCAGGTACTGCAATGCCCACATTTAATACTCACCATAAAACTGAGTTATCACTGTTGAGACAACTGAAGCCAAGAAAGGGGAAGTGGCTATGACAAGGGTCACCACATAGGAAGTATTTGAGTTGGAGTTAGAAGAAGGTGCTGGGTCCCAGAGACCCTATTTAGATACCCCACATCTCCCCCAGGGTACAGGAGGGAAGACTTTGTGGTGGCTTGGGACCAGGGAGAAAAGAGTATGTTCCAGGAAGAGACAGCCCTGTGGGCAGAGGAAGTGGATGAAGGAGGGTGCCTACAGGCAGGAGATGAGAAAAAGCAAGAGCAGGGAAAACAGGACACTCAGGTCATCCCAGGACTCAGAGCTTCTTTTGTAGACAAGTCACAGCTCACGAAGTTGAGGACCCCCTTAGTTGTATGACAGGTTCTCTACTCTTGCTGTGAATCTCCATTCACGTAAAAGCACAAATTTGCTCCGAAATCTGCAAAGCCCTATTCAAGGGCAAAGGACTTTCGTTCATTACCCACAAGAGCCTTGACTCCAGAGGCCATAGCAAGATTGCCTGGCCTGGTCCCACTTTGTGTGGGGGACCATTTGATTTGGAAGATAAACATCCTGAAGGATGAAGTGTTCCTACCCTAAGAACAAGGCCACTAACAAATTAGGAGGGAGGGCAAGTAAAAAGCAGGAAGCCGCAGAGGAAAGGGCCTCAGGCAAATGAGGGTCTTTATCACAGGTCAGTGGCTAGAGTGCTGGTCTAGCTCACACGGAGCCCTGGGTTTAATCCCCAGACTACATAAGCCCCGTATGGAGACACATGACTGTAATCCCAGCACGAGGGAGGTGGAAGCCGGAGGATCAGATGCTCAACTATATAATGAGTTAAGGCTAGCCTAGGCTACAAGAGACCCTGGCTCAAAAACTAACAATACTAAGTGGGAAGATAGTTGCAGGCCACTGACTTTCCCTCTCAGAGGCCAAAGGCTCACAGGTCTGCTATATAGAAGTGTGTGGGGCCTCGGGAACCTGCAGTGAACCCTCTTCTTCTCCGGTCTCTAACTTACATGGGCTCTTGCAGGTCTGCCTGATGACCTCATCCAGAAGGGGAGGGACATCAAGGGGATCTCAGAAATCGAGCACAACGGGAAGCATGTCAAACTCACCCTCACCTATGGGCCCAAAGTGGTCAAGAACGAGTTCACCTTGGGGGAGGAATGCGAGCTGGAGACCATGACTGGGGAAAAGGTCAAGGTATGTAGTCCCGCCTCCTGTTCCCCAAAAATTCTCCTAACAGAGACCATGTCGCTGAACCCACTTCAGGCAGGAGACTGAGAGAGCTCTGAGAAGAAACTTCTCCTTGCCTCAGGGATTTCGTGGCTTCTGGGCTCTCACTATGGAGGAGGTGGAGAAAATGGGCACAGAGTAGGATCCTCAGTCACATGGTCTCCCAGGAACAGTGCTCCTGGCTCCGAGTCCTCCAAGGAGAGAGCCGGGAAATCACTGTCAGTGAAAACCTTTATCTGAGCCAGGGCAGCTTCATCTCGGGGTGGTGGTTCCAGGCAGCAATGCCAGCTGGCCGTGGGCTGTGTGAGTGGTGACAGGTAATAGCAGAGAGATCCAGGTGCTGTGGGTCCTGTTATCTGCCCCTCCCTATGAAGCCTGCACAGCCCAGGGTAGTCAGTAGGCTGTGCATCTGTTCTCTCTACACCTGCCTTTCCTGGCGGCCTTGTGCCTCAGGCACAGCAGGAGTCTCTTTACCTTTTCAGGTTGTGCTTACTTCTTCCGCCTTTCTTGCACGTCAAGGTGAAAGGTGGAGGGGATTCTCCTGATCTGCTCATGGCCAGCGGTGGGGTGTCATGGGTTTTCCAACGGCCCATTGTGGAGGCCGAGTTTTGACCTTGTGTCTTTTGTTCATGACTAGATTTCTTCCTCCATCCCTCCCTTGCTTCCTTTATCCTTATTCTCCCCCCCCCTTCCCCAGCATCTTGACATGTAGCCCACACTGGCCTCAAACTCAGTATCTTCCGGCTCCTGCCTCCTGGATGCTGGGATTATAAGCGCTGCACTGTGCCCAGCCACAGCTGTGCTTCTATTTACTGCCATCTTTGATGTCTAAGGCTTGGAATTGGCACCATAATAGGAAAGGGTAAACAGCTACCAAAGCAAACTGTCCCCACAGCTGCTGGTGGCTGGGCCTCTGCTACAACCTCCCTCCATAAGATCCAAAATGGGATTTTACATTTTATTTTAGATTCCCCCACCCCCACCCCAAGAGAACCACTAAGGCAAGCTTGACATTCTCTTTCATTCATAAACACCCCTGTTTCCATTCAGCACTAGAGAACTGGAGATGAACAGGACCTTTGACTCACCGTCAGCTGTTACCACACAGGGAAGCAACCTCATTAGCTTCATCGCTAGACCTTTCCTCACGGGTCATGATCTCTCTTCCCTGCAGGCAGTGGTTAAGATGGAAGGAGACAATAAAATGGTGACAAGTTTCAAAGGCATGACGTCGGTGACTGAACTCAACGGCGACACCATCACCAATGTAAGTTGGCACTCTGGTCTTGCCATCCCGGTGTTTGAGGGGCATGGAGAAGTAAAGGGTGGGGGACAGGTGTCTGATATCTCTCATTCTCCCATCTTCTCCTCCCCGAGACCTTGACTTTTGTCAGTGTCTTCTACCACTTAAGAGGATCGGTTATGTTCCACGTAGTTGATACGTATTGTCTTGAGTCTTTTGAACAACACTTTTCTAAATAGGGAATGTAAGGCTATGACCAGATGAGCTCCAGGAATTGGGCCTGTCCCCTGCACTAATCTCTCTCACAGTTGTTCAGCACTCAAGAAGCCCTAGGGGCAGCTGTTCATGCTGTAGACTGTGAGGATTTGTATTCAGTACATCTGCAGCCATCTTGTTCTGACCAAACAAGGGCTGGATTCTTAGGGTGATTTTCTGACAGACAGAAGAGCAGTGTCTTGAGGAAGGGGCACCCTTTTCTAATTCACCTGGTGTCTCCCACCTCCAGGCTGCCCTTCCTCTCCCAGGGTCAGCCACTACCACCACCTCAGCCTCTCCTCCTTACCCACTGCCTGCCTCTACCCCCATCCCAACAGCACCTAAAGGGGTTGGAGTGAGAAGTACTTGGTGCGCTGAGACACAGGTCAGGATATGCAGAGCACAGCTGGCCCTTTCCTGTCTCTGCTGAGATGGGGCCGCAAACCTCCCTATGGGACAGAAGTCCATTCAATCCGGAGATGTCCCAGACTTCACTCCATCGGCAGATCTCCTGTCCAGGAGCCTCAGTGCCTCCTGCAGCACTACTTCCCATCGGTGCAAAACCTCCACAAGGGAGGCTTTTTTTTTTTTCTTAGCAAAATCTGGGCTCTTTCCTTGCTGTTCCTTTTGAAAATGTCAGAGTGTGGCCACAGCCTTTCCCTCTGCCTCAGCACTAACCAACAAGCCACAAAGGCTGCCATCTTCCAAAGCTTGGGTGCCTTCTAAACACCTCTGCCCACTTGGCATTGGTGTGAAGTCACACTTCTACTGAGTTTATGGTGGCTAATGAATGACACACTGGGTGTGCACTCCTATGCAATCACCCTCCATGCCCAGCTGTTGGTAATATCCCGCCCCAAGTGTGCAGGATAATTGGTAGTGTTTCTGCCATGGTCAGGTCTTCCAGCTCTCCTTTGTATCCAGAATGCCCTTTAGTTCACAGAAGGCAGACACAACATTCAGTCCCCACTCTTGCCCCCTCACTCTGATAGCAGAGCTGGTGAGCAGAGAGGAGCCACCCTGGACTGAGTTCAGATGCATCTCCCCTCGTCTTCCTTTCTCCTATGGGAAGTGCAGACAATGGATTTTATAATCCAGCTAACATATCCAAGACCATGCAGCTGATAAGTGATAAAACCCCAACCCAAGGGATGACTGCTGCAGCCAAGGAGCTCCTTTTCCACTTGACAACATAAGACACAAAGTCAGAGACCTGAGAGGGGTGGAAGGGCCATTCAACAACAACCCTAAAACCGATGTGTTTTGTTTTTCTTACTATGCTGAGGTTTTGAGTGTGCTGAGCAAGCATCCTGCCATACAAACCCATGCCCAGTGTTCTCATGCGCCTCATTCACAAGTTTAAGAGGAAAATTATACAGTCCCCACTGTCCCAGTCTAGTTACCCAGTGCATCCATGTACAAATCCTTGTGTTCAGCCATAGGCTGTTAATGGACAGTAATAGATCTCCATGAAATTTTGAGACAATGGATTGGACTGCTCTGGATGGTTTTTCTATAGCTGTTGTTGATTTAGGAAACAATTCAGTGGCTGGCAGGACACCCTTTCACACAAACAAGAGAAGTGACAAGACACTGCCTGGTGTTTTAGAAAAGTTGCCAACCATTCCTATGCCCATAAAGAAAATGGAAATTTTAAAAGTAGTCTCATGTGTTAGCACATTTGGAGCCATTAAGGGAGATTGTTTTTTGTTTCTTTGCTTTACAATTCATCATCAAGGAAATATCTCATGATCTCTCTTCTTAATTTCAGACCATGACACTGGGCGACATTGTCTACAAGAGAGTCAGCAAGAGAATTTAGACAAGGCTGTGTTTTGTATTCTTTTACAGTGTAAAATTTATGCAATAAAGTTACCTTTGTTTTGAAAGCATTTCTTCTTGAGGGCTTCTCATTGTGGCTCTGCTCTTTCTTAGTGTGCGTGCATGCATGCATTCGTGTGTGCGTGTGTGTTGGGAATTAAACCCAAGCCTCGCATTTGTGAGTATAAACTCTATCACTGAGCTGCATCCCTAGCCCTGATGTTTTCAGTGAGCAGTGATCACCTCTGACTTTGTCATTATAATTTGTATATCATTATACCAGCTCAGATCTGTACTTTAATTTTCACCCTGGATACCAACCTCTGTCTCAGGTATCCTTAACTTGAATGCCAAGTGTGGCCAGATCTGTAGAGTATCCACTGTGCCCTCTCTCTGTTAGACATACGAGCAAGAAGCTGGAGCAAGAAGGATGCAGTGAGTCTGAGGGTGTCTCTGCAGAAGGACAGGGATCGTGAAGACCAGGCTGATGGGGGAAGCACTTCTGTGTATGTTTATCTTATTGATTGTTAAATAAAATACTGTTTGGCCAATGACACAGCAAGTTGGAGGGGACTAGGAGTCAAAGAGGATTCTGGGAAATGTAGTAGAAAAGTGGTGATCCAGGCAGGAAGTGACACAGCAAGGAGACTCATATTTAAGCAAAGGAAACAGGAAGGGTTCCTCTTTTCCTCCTCCTCCTCCAGCGGTGGGATGTGAGCCACCGACAGCAGAATGCACTCTATCAAGCCATCTCCCTAGCACTGTATTTCTTATATAAAGTGCAAAGGCCATGAGGAAAAGATTAATAAATTTGACTTCATCAAACTAATCATCAAAGTTTGAAGGTTACACTTGAAAAAAGATAATGTAAATGTAATTTTCATGAGAAGCAGTACTGTGGGAAAGTATATTTGTGGCTTAGGTAATGAAGGTTATAGAATATTAAACTCTTCCCCCAAATTAAAATAAATGTCCAACAAGTCAATGGACAGGCAGGTCAAGGACATTTAATAAGCCACTCCCAATGAATAATATGTTTATTTTTGTCATAATTATAACTGAGGTGGGAATGTAAGATGATGTGCCCAAATACAAAGAGCCAGGAAAGGTTAACCTTGCTTACACACAAGTTTGTAAAAATATTGTGAATGGCTCTACCTTCAGTGGTAGAGATATAAACTGGTGAAGCCCATGGTGGACACCATTTGACAGAATCCCTTAACATCTTCAGTGAAGTTCCTAGCACCTTGCAACACCACTGTGCATCTTTCTGAAGAAGTACTGTATACATGTACAGAAAGCATAAAGGTACACCCTTCTGTAATGCCAGCTCTTAGAAGGTAGTGACAGGAGAATCAGCCTGGGCTACATAGTGAGACTAGATCTTAATAAACAAACAAGAAAGAAAGAAAATGGATTTGGGACATAGCTCAGTGGTAGAGCACTTGCCTGGCATGCACACAATTCTGAGTTTGAAAGGAACAGTAACAATATAAAGTAGAAACAGATGTTTTTTGGCTAGAGAGGGTTGGAGAGATTGTTCAGTGGGTAAAGCACTTTATCACAAGTCTGGCAACCTGGCTTCAGACTACCAGAACCTGCATAAAACCCAACAGAGTGGCTTATGCATCTATGATCTCAGCACCCCCACAAGAAGAGGGAGGCAAAGAAGAGAGTCCACAGATGCTCATGGACCAGTTCATCGGCTACCTGTTTCAAACAGCGTAGAAAGTGAAAACCAGTATATGAGGTTGTCCTCTGATGATCACATATGTGCCATGAAATGCATGTGCCCCCCCACAACACACACACACACAGAGAGAGAGAGAGAGAGAGAGAGAGAGAGAGAAAGAGAGAGAGATAGAAGAAGAAGAAGAAGAAGAAGAAGAAGAAGAAGAAGAAGAAGAAGAAGAAGAAGAAGAAGAAGAAGAAGAGGAGGAGGAGGAGGGGGGCTGGTGAGATGGCTCAGTGGTTAAGAGCACCTACTGTTCTTGCAGATGACCCGAGTTTGGTCCCAGCACCCATGTACGGAGGCTCAAAACCATCTCTAACTCTAGTTTTAGGGAATCAGATGCCCTCTTCTGGCCTCTGTGGGAAACTGCACTTGTGTCTACACCCACACCCACACCCACACACCCCCCCACACACAGGGAGACAGAGAGACAGAGAGACAGACAGAGACAAAGTTTAAAATAGAACAAATCTTTAAAAAGGGTTAGATTAAGTGGCAGATTCATGCTCTTTGAAATCATCTGCTATAAATGATGGTGTCAGGTTTAATATACTGAGATGGAAAGATTTCTAACATGAAGTGTATTACAGAAAAAAGAGGGTCTCATGTAGCCCATGAACTGACTGGGTAATGGAAGAAGACCTGGAATGTTTGATCCTCCTGGTTCCATCTCCCAAATGCTGGGATTACAGCCCTATAACCACCTTGTCTAGCATAAGTTTCAGAGCGATACTGACAATGTAATATCCTTCATGTAAACAGTGTTGAGGCAGGAAGTAAAGCTGTTACTATCCACTCATGAGTGCCTAGGGAAAAGTCTTTCTGGAACTGGTGCACCAGATGACAGTGTTCCTGGGATGGGAACAGAATCAGGAGGTTGAGAGCTTTTTACATAATTTATGTTGTTTGACTCTTTTGCAAGCAACTGTTTTTTGGGATTATGTGTTTGATAAGGAGACGATTTAAGAAGTATTTGGCTTGAAGATACAGCTAAGCTGACTTACTTAACGATTCTGGATCATAGCTACAGCTGCTATAAAGTGCATAGTGCAGCCAGGAAATGATTTGTAAAGCAAATGCCATTCTCAGATTCCTCAGGGGTGGCTAATGGGGTGTGTATACTGCTTTTGTTATCAACTTGACACAAACCTTAAGTGACGTAGGAAGAAGAAACCTTAACTGAAGAACCGTCTCCATTAGATTGGACTGTGGGTTTGTCTGTGGGGAATCATCTTGCCTGATGATTGATGTGGAATTGCACAGCCCACTGTGGGTAGCACCATCCCTAGGCAAGTGGGTCTGGGTTGTGTAAGAAAGCTGGCAGGACACAAGCCAGAGAGCAAGCCAGTGAGTAATGTTCCTCTACAACCTCTGCTTCAGTTCCTGCTCCGGGTTCCTGCCTTGAGTTCCTGTCCTGACTTCCTTCAGTGATGGACAGTTACTTGGTAGTTGTAGGCTGAAATAAACCCTTTTCTTCATGAGCTGATCTTTGTTGTGGTGTTTGGCATGGCATCAGAATAGAACTGGAACAGCATGATACTCAGAGCACTGACAAAAACTATCATGACCAAAGAAACTAAGCTGAGCATCGATGCAGGGGAAAGGGGCTTACATTGTCCACCAGTGAACAGCTAAGTTCTTTGGCTCGAAGCAAGAAAAATTATTTCCTAGATTTTTCAGCAAAGTCTCTAGGGATCAGACAGTATTCCCCAAAATCATTCCTAACAGGATCTTGCATTGAGACTAGCTCTAGGTTGGGGAGGCGTTGTATATTTTTGTCCTGGAGGATTCTGAACTTGGATTTTGTACAGGTGCCCAGAGAACTTAGTGCCTGAACAAACAGCCATTGATGGGATCTGACATCTTCACCTTGGCCCCTCCTCTCTTTACCCCCACCCCAACACACTCACACACTGTGTGTGAACACACAAGCTAATGCCCCGCCTTTGTCTAGCCTGTGGACATTTCACCAACGGGGGGCTCTCATTCCTGGGAGAACACTTCCATGGCTGATACATATTAAGTATGTCTACCAAATACTGCTTCCTTTTTTACCCCCCCCCTTTCTGTTTTTGTCTCTCTCCTTTTTATTTTTCTTCATAATTGTCTGTATTAGGGTAAAGAACGTAGTTTGACGGGGTAAAAGAGGGGAGACTCTAGAGTGGTCTATGCCCAAGCTTCTGTGTACTTTTTTGTTTATTTATTTTTACATTTTATTTACTTGGGGAAGAGGGTATGCAGGTGCTATGGTATACTTGTGGAGGCCAGGACAACTTTCAGGAGTCTGTTCTCTCCTCCCACTCTGTGGGATCTGGGAGTTGAACTCAGGTTGTCCGGTTTAATGTCAAGCACACTTACCCACTGAGCCATCTCACTGGTCCTGATCACTCTTCGTATACATGTTGAGCATACACAATTTTTCAGTGTTCCACATCAGAAAAGAATCATGGGAGGTCTGAGAGCATGGGGGGGGTATTTATTTTGCAAATAGATATGATGAAAGGGGATGTGCATGAGAGGACACAGACTGAACTGAGTCTCTACAGTGAGTCTTTTCACCCTGGAAAGGAGTTTGCACTTGACCCAGGGGACAGCAGGTACTTACTGAGGGGTTCACACACTGTAAATGAGATGACATGAAATACTCAGTCGGAAAATCATCTGGCTATGGTGAAGGTTCCATCACAGTTTTCCATCTCAGATCTTTAGAGGCAGACCCTGAGAGAGTCTCCAGGTGATGACTATGTCTGGTTAGTGCTTGGGTTCACCAATGCAGGGCCAATGCAGGTGGCTTCATGGTGAGGGTGGCACATAGAAGTCTTAGACATATTCAGTGTGGCTCTGAGGGGGTTGAGGCTTGAGAGGACAGTCTCCGCTCCAGTTTAAGAAGACATCACTTGATCATTCTAAGGATCCATTCTGGCTCTCCTCTTTTATAGGTTAACATGGGTGCTCTAAGTTTATAGCAATGGGCATGGACTTAACATTCCTGTCATGGCCAACTTCAAGTTATCTGTCAGTGTGATACCAGTAAACATGGTATTGATAGACATGTACACAGTTGGCTCCCACAGCTGACAAAGCCAATTTCAGTGCACCACAATTCACTCCTTACCTTTCTAATTGGGGAAATGGAAACCCTGGCAGAAATGTGGTATAACACTATGAAGTTCTCTTTAAACACTGCCAATGGTCCTGGTGTTACCCTAAGGGTTTTATAGTTTAAAAACCCAGGCTTCACTGCCAACCTAGGCGAGGGAGACATGTGGAAACTGAGGTGGGGTGAAGTAACTAGTCTGGTATCTGGATAGCTGTGAATAAGGCAGACTTAAGTGGCTTTCATCAGCACCCATGCTCTTAAAATAACACTAAGGCAGTTCTCTAAAATTACAGTTCAATGCAGCAGTCACTGGCCACCTTCCCTAGCTAAACAGAAATTAATTGGCCTGGTAGTGGTGGCGCACGCCTTTATTCCCAGAACTTGGGAGACAGAAGCAGGCAGATCTCTGGGAGTTCAAGGCCAGACTGGTCTACAAAATGAGTTCCAGGACAGCTGGGACTGTTATACACAGAAACCCTGTCTTGCGAATCAAATCAAAACAAACAAACAAACAAACAAGCAAAAACAAAAAAACAAAAATTGACAATAAATAAAATTAAATTTTCATGTCTTTAATATTATCCCAGTGCTCAGTAGTCACCAGCTGTTAGTATCGAACATCACAGATACAAGTCCTCTACTCCATCATCACAGGAAATGCCATGAGATCATGCTCCTCTGGAAATACTGTCAGAAAGACAGAAGCCAAGTCCCACAAACACAGAGGGGTGAATGGGCCTTGCTGACTATTATAACAAAAACACACTCAAAACACACAGTTGTGCAACTCTTTAACTTTGAGATATGTATTTCATCCATTTATGGATTCAATGAGCGCTATCGTGTTCCAGGACCCGTGCTAAAGACAGAAAGATGCACAAAGGGATGTGGTCCCTCCCTCAGGAACCCACAAATGATGGAAGAGGTGGTATTCTTGGGTGGTGTTCTGAGAATGACTAGGTGTTAGGAGAGGTGTTGGGAAGTCTCATTTGCAGCATGCTGACTTTGAGGTGCCTGCAGAGCACGTACCCAAGAGGATGTGAGGGGCTGGAGTTCAAGTTGTAAAATCAGATAACAGACCTGAGAACCAGAAACCTCAATGCAATCATCACATAATGTGTCACCTAAATTCACGCTAGGAGGGTGCAGAGCAAGAACAGAATCAACCAAGGACAAAATCAACTCAGCGTCATATCAGGGGCAGATGAGAAACAAGACCAGGGAAAGCCAGAGAAACCACATCAGAAGCTCATCACAAAGGAATGAGGTCATAGAAACCAAGTTTGGGGTGTGCTGCTAACAGAGAGGCTGGACAATGTAAGGAACTAGAAAAGAGACATTTTAAAGGAGGGGCAAAGGTAGAAACCAGTGTGCCGTGAGTTTGAAAAGAAATGGAAAACGAAGAGAAACAGAACAAACGCACAACTGAGAACTCCCAGCTGTGAAGATGTGATCCAAGGGCCCTCAGCATGTTTGTTGACTTCATTAAGGAAGCCCAGGGGTGCTGGGAGTGAATGTCTTTAATTCCAGTATTCAGGAGGCAGAGGCAGGCATCTATCTGTGAGTGAATTCCAGAACGGCCAGGGCTAAGTACAGAGACCCTGTCTCAAAAATATAAGAAGGGGAGAAAAGAAAAGAGAAAAAAAGAAAAGAAAAGACGAGAAAAGGAAAGGAAAAAAGAAAGGAAAAAGAAAAGAAAAGGAAAGAAAGGGAAGGAGAAAGGAAAGAAGTTCTGTGGTGGGTGAAAGGCAAGGCCCCGGGATGGAGAAGGGTGGTAATGGAGTAAGCTCTGGAGGTCACAGGAAGCAAGGGGTCCAGAGCAGGAACAGATTCGCTAGTGAGCGAGTAAAACCATGGTCTATGGTTAGGAGAGAGATGGAGGAGCACCAACACAGTGACTAATTCTGAAGAAAACAGATTTAAGGAAGATGCGAAGAAACACAATGATGACAAAGAAAGGAAGAGAATTTGGGGCAGGATCTCTACTGGGGAAGAGGAGTGATGATGACCTGAATGCACCTGTAGGATTCCCAAAGACAATGTTAATGCTGTCCCTGGCCTGAGAGATAGAGCTTGAAGTAACTGTCTGTCTTTTATAGAAGTTTCTGGAGAAGAACAAATCCTCCAACAAGAGTCAAGGGCCAGGTACTAATATTCTGCAAGGAGGGGCCTCTTCAGAGGCCTCAGCTGCTGGGCATGGCTCAAGGGGAAGCAGGGGACTATTCGCCAATGAAAGGGTAGAGATGGATAGACTAACATTTTAGGCAGAAATAAATGTGTGTTTTAGTGTGACTTCAAGATGTTAGTGTTCTGGGGTCCATTGTGGTTGTGTAGAAGTTTCGGCGACACCCTCAACTAAAGGCATTTACTTCATGCTCCCCCACCATGTTGGTGAGAAAGTTGGGGTCCTGGAAACTGAAAGGTCATCCTTGGGTCTTCATTTCTCAGATGGAAATGGGCCTCTCAGAAAATGAGAATAAACTGGGCACACTTAGAAAGAGATTCTAGCCCAGGTGAACTGCCTTCTATTAAGAAGGGCAGAAGTCCCCAGAGCATGGACAGGATAAAGAAATTAAACATAGGAAGTAACAGTCACTGGTTACAAAGAGCAGAGCCTCCCTGGGGCCAGTGATGAAGCCTAAGCCAATGCAGACTACCAAGGCTTGAAACCCCTACAAGCCACTTGTGCTGGGCCCACCGTGGTCAGGCATGCACACCCTCAGCTCCACCCTGAAATGCCTTCTCACTTCTACAAGTCAATGGCCAAAAAACACCTGAGCTTTTCCTCAAGTAGCCCCCACATCACAAGGAGCTACAGGCTTGGTGAGTAGGACCAGGGAGGGAAAAATTCTCTCTGTGTGTTCTAGAGTTATCTCTAAAACTGTGCTTCAAGCTCAGTGTAGGCATTGAGACCACAGGTGGTCTACACAGGGTCCACGCCTCTTTCTAGGCACCATCCCAAATGGGTTTCCTGTCTCTCAGTGGATCTCAAAGAGCCAAATCCAGCCCCAGTCTTTTGTTAGTAACTCCAAGCCAGCCTGAGGATACGGGACATCACCCATCCCACTCTGCCAAACCCTAAATACTCCCAGGCACAGGTGAGGCTAGCAGCCCCAGAGACCTGCACAGACAAACGGTAGTCATCTGAGATTCTAAGTACCTGCCACCCATAGTTCATGTGTCTGTGTGCACACATGCGCGCGAGCGTGCGCGCGCACACACACACACACACACCTCCTCTGAACCTCTCCATAAAATTTGCCATTGTATTTATTATTATGCTGTGCCTTGTTTGTTTACATTTTTCCTTCTAGCCCCATAATATTTGGGGCTTCTTTATGAAATAGATGATGGAATCTAGCACCCGACACATATAGAAAGAGGTGGTCTAGGATGAGATAGAGCTAAGCTGAGTTGAATTGAAGCAAAATGATAGTGAGGAACACAGCAGTAATTTCCCCAGCTCCCAGACACATCCCCCCCCCCCCCCCCCCCCCCCACACACACACACACACACACACACACAAAGAAAAAAGACAAGCCAAATCAAGGAGTTATTACATCTAACTCATCATAATAATTTTCTCAATAGCTTATTAAAAATGTAATCTTCAGGCCAGTAAGATTGCTCACTAAGGAAAGCCATTTACTTTGCAAACCTGGTGGCCTGAACCCCAGAAATTTGGAACAGAGCCGGGGCTGGTTCATTGCTGGGCTCAGCCATGACCTGCATGGGCTGGTTGTTCAGGGCAGCCTCTCGCATCTTGTGGTACATGAACTCATTCTGGCGGAACATGCGCAGCTCCATCTCTGTCTGCACCCTCATGGCCTGTGGGACACAGATAACAACACTGAGAGTGACATGTCTCCAAGACACGATCCTAACATATCTCTGGTTAAATGACCCATGGTCAGTAAGAGTCAACTCTACCCCTTCAGAAACACATGTGTTTGTGTGTGTGTGAGAGAGAGAGAGAAAGAGTGAGAGAGAGCAGGGTGGGGGAGCAGCATTCTGGACTGATGGTGTAGCATTAGTTGGGAGTTGGACCCCGAGACAGCAGCTGAAGAGTTGCTTTTAGCATAGAACTCCTCATCTCTCTGACAGCTGAGGACCTGGGTCTGAACCGTAGATCCTGACCTCTGTACTTACAGGACCTCGGTGAAGGGACTTAACCCCAGCAGGTTGGGAAGATTATAGTTGTACAACACACAACAAAGTCTTTGCTCTCCCACAAAACCACTCAGGGCATATCCAGAAGAGCTAGCTGTTAAGAGGCCCAGGACACCATGGTAAGTAAGATTGGCAGAGACTCCGCCTTTAATTAGTTTAATATAGTAGATATAAAATTAGCCATCTCTGACCACTGGATAACCACTGGATAACCAGAGATGAGTACTCCCCTCCCTTGGGCCTCTGTTTCCTCATACGTAATCAAATGGGTAAGGCTAACACATCCTAAGGTCCTTTCTGGCCTAGCTGGCAGTCTACAGACTTCCATAAAGCCAAGTCCAGATGAACCAGGACTCCCACCTCAAGAAACCTTCAAACAGGACAGTGATTGCCCACCTCCAGGATGCTATTTACCTCCAAGTCCTTGGTGATAGGGTGGGAGGGTCCGTGTGTTACCAGGAGAATTGCATAGGCTTTGCAGATCATCCCGTGCCCCACTTCAATGTTACCAGCATGCCAGTTGGTCAGCCCTGCCCGCATCACAGCCATGCCCAGTTGGGCATTGTTATGGTGGTAGAGCTTCCTGCAGAGGCACAGGAAGAAATCATGACTCATCGTACTAACCTTCCTTACATCTTACAGCACAGAAGAACCACTAAAGCACTCCTGACAGTTATTGTCGACTGGATGCAATCTAGTATCACTTGGAAAAGTGCAATGAGTAATCTTCTAGATTGGGTTGGCTGTGGATGTGTTTGCGGACAGCCATCTTGAGGACCTCTGGATAGCACCATTCCCTGAGCAGGAGATCCTAAACAAACTGAGAGCAATCTTGCATTCATTCGTCCATCCTTCTCTGCTCTTAAGCATGGGTGCGATGTGACCTCAGCTACCCAGAAGTGATAGAAATGTAGCCAAAAGAAATCCTTCCTCCTCTAAGCTAATTAGCCAGGGTATTCTGTCACAGCAAATGGAAATGACGCCCAGGCCAGTACTCCTATTGAGCAAGCCCATCTAGTCTTCCCACTCTTGCTGTGAGGCACCAGAGACTTGTTGTGGGGTACCAAAAGCCAGAGCTAATGTTCTACACAGTGAAGCCCGAGAGTTGGGTCACCAAGCCAAGGCTTCATAGACAAAGAGGACCACAGCTGTACTCTGAGCCGGAGCATAGGGAGCTAGGTACCATCTGGAGCACCCCCAGTTCTCTGGGGTACATGGTAGGAAATATAACTTCATCGTTTTGCCTGGACTGCACTGTATTTTTCTTCTCCTGGCAGGGCTCCTGCTTAACCCTGCCTGGACTGCACTGTATTTTTCTTCTCCTGGCAGGGCTCCTGCTTAACATGCTGGACCATTCATCAGAATTTTTTAGTGAGAAGCATCCACTAAAGAAAAGCCTTCTTATGACAAATTACTCAACTGACCAGAAACACAAATTCTTAGGCTAATGTGAACATAGAAGAGAGAACATTGGTGGAGGAGGGATGAAAAGCAGCATGTTACAATTCAAAAGCAAGAATGACCTCTCCATAGCAGAGCTGTGAAAAGTGTATGTGTACACGTATATACCTGCACACATTTTATACTTGTGTGTATGTATGTACACACATGCATACATATGTAAATGTACACACAATAGAAATATATATTGCTATGGTTTGGGTAAGTGTCCACCCCCAAGGCCCGTGAGGTAAAGGCTTGGTCATAGATTGCTAAAGAGAGAATAAAAAAAAACTTTCCAAGAATTTAAAGTCAAGCTTCATTTAGGAAAATCCAAAGCAGAAAATGCTGCTCAAGTGGCAAATAAGGAAGTAAAAACAAACAAACATAACAGCGATGACAACATCTGAGTCTCAACTCTGACTGTTTAATCATTACTGCTTGGGGCACCATGACAAAAGCCTAATTTGTAAGGAGAAGTACCACTGCAACTGTAACCTGTGGATATGTGGACTGTGACCATGGCCATTGCAGGTATAGGAGGAGCAATCAAATGTGTGCCATCTCTTTGGCATCCCTGAACAGAGAGTTTCCGGGAAACTACCTGAGACCCAGGACCATCACCTACATGTAGCCATCCACCATCCTCCTGGCATAGTGTGCGGCCTCCTCAAAGGCCTGGAGGTAGGAGAGGACCTCTGACACAATGCTTAGCAGCCGGAGCACGTAGAGGTTGGTGTCGGCAAACACTGATTCCTGCTTCTCCAGGCACTCCCGGCACAGCTTTACAACCTGGAGGGAGACACAGCTTCATCCATCATCACTGTACCAGAGTATATGCTTAGCTGATAGGTGGAGCATCAAGACAACACTAGGCTCACTCTTTGAAAACTGGAGAAATAGAGCGGGGGGAAAAAACAAGGTTTGTGATTTGAGCTAACAAAACGATCTTCCTGCCTAAGACATTGTCCTGGGAAAGGGTTGGACATAATGAAGACAGAACAAAGTGAGGGAGTTTGCCTACTCGACGTCAGTAGGCAGCAGAGCCGTGGGAACTACATATGCGTGTATGTGTGCATGTCTACACATACACTAAACTCATGAGTTCATACGCACACATATGCATACATATGTATAGATATACACAATGTAAATACATTAATGTGGTTTGAGTAAGTGCCCACCCTTAAGGCCTATGTGTTCAAGGCTTAGTCGTCAGCCTGTGGTGTTGTTGGGAGGTAGAAGTGAAGACGGAGAAGCCAGAGGAATGGAGCCCATGGAGCCCACCACTTACTCTAGTTCCTAACACGTGCCTTTGCCATAGATTCCTCACTATGCGTGAAACTTTGTTTTCATGGCTTCTTCTCACCTGACAGGACTCAGGGGAGAAAGAGAATGTCTTGCTTTGGTCACCCTAGTAAGGGTTCATGCATGTGCAGTGGATGAACCAGTAAAGGAGGAGGAAAAGAAGGGCAATGAAACAGATATGGAGTGAAGATAACCGCCATACCAGCATACCCCAGTGACATCCACACCTGGCTCATCCAAGCTGTGTAATGAGCTTGGCAGGGGCATGCCGCTGAGTCATGGTGCCTCTGTTCTATTTCAGAATGGATAGATCACTGTTGGGGGAGAATTGTTCACAGCCATTTCATCATCCCAGTAAAACCACCTTGATCAAAGGGCTGAGTCAGCAATTAGCTGACTGAGATTAGCCATGGAGTTCTTGGAGGACTAAGGAGGTCTGCTAGAAAGGACAGAAAGAGAGAAGGGAGGATTTCTGGGGAAGGTGTTTTGGAAAAAACATGGAGGGAGGGTCAGCTGCCCTTGCTTTTAGTAGGTTTTTAATCTTAATTTCTGACTCCCGAGTTTTTGTTATACTGACAATTTAGATATTCATTACAGATCCCAGGTTATATGAGACACAAGAATTGACTTCCAACAAGCTGTTGAGAGTAATTCCAAGTAACTTCTTGGATATGGTGGTATACACCTGTGATCCCCATACTCAGGAGGACAGAGAATTCACAGACAGCCTACATTACCAAGGCCTTGTCTCCAAAAACTAACACAGCAATATCACCACAGAGCTATTGGTGGCACATTGAAAGCCTATGGAAACTATGAAATCTTGATACCTAGATCCCTCTAGCAGAGATTTTTTAGAGAAATTGTCCTGATTGGAGGAGGAGCATGAAATGTTTACACAGTTGATTATAGTATAGAGCCAGGTGAGACTCTGTGGGGCTTTAGGAGCTAACGTTTCAGTGGGCAGCAACAGAATGTAAGAGGCATATGTTCAGCGATGGCAAAGCAAGCAGGCCACTCTCAGTGCCCCCCCAAGCCATTGTTACTCTTTCATTTCTGATGCCACCTGAGCTGCTGCGGGTACTCCCGCTAACACATGGATCCAGCAATGTTTGCTCTCCTTGGACAGAATTCACTGGGCTGAGCAGTCACTGAGAATACACCTTTGATAGGTGCTAAGATTGAAGGGCATGAGAGAAACAGCCTCCCAGGAAGCACGACCTGTTCAGTGGCCCCCCTTTTCTGTTCACATCCCTCCCTTACTTCCCACCGGCTTCCCCATCGCTATCCTCTATTAAAAGTGCTCTCACCTCATGATACAAACCCTCAGAGCGAGCCTTGTCTATTTTTTCCAGTGTATCCTTTGAGAATTGTACCATCTCCTTCACCACTTCCGGGGAGGGCTGGGAAAGAGAGAGGCATCCAGTTTGAGATCACCTCATGGGGCAGCCCATTTTATCCCAGAGTACCTGAAGGCTGGGAACGTAGTTCCATGGTAGAGCACTTGCCTTGCATGCACAAGGCCCAAGGTTCAGTCCCACTACTATCAAAAAAGAAAGAAAAGTAAACTATCTCCAAGCGTCTGCCTTCTTTGACATTCACTGGAATGTAGGATCAGGGCCTTGCCTGTGATGATCATCTCATTTCTCCAAATGTGTAAAGATCCCTGTGGCTTTTCCAACAGCTTCTTGTGCTTCTTTTTCTTGCTTCCTTAACTTAGTTTATTTGGTTTTGGAGGATTTCACACATGAGCATTGTGTTCCTATCATTTCCACCCCTGCTTCCTACTTCAATCTCTCCCATGTTTCTCCACTTTCTCTCAGGGTTGTTCACAAGTGTTTAGAGAGGACCACTTGGTTTGAATAATGTACCAGGGAAAATTGATTCTCCCTCTCTCAGCACACATTGACTGCCTGTAGTTCATCGTCTAGGGATGGGGCCTCATAAGAGTTCCCCTGTGCACAATGGTATATTGACTATTGTCTTCATGCATCTGATTTCACTACAAGCAGTTGTGAGCTACTGTGAATACTGGGAGTTAAACTCATGACCTCTGGAAGAGCAGCTAGTGCTTTTAACTGCTGAGCCATTTCTCCAGGCCAAGATTGAGTTACTTTTATTTTGAGTTCATTTATTTGCTTTAATAAAGAACCCAATTTAAGAGGCCAGCAAGATGGCTCAATGGGTAAAGGAATTTGCCACCAAACCTGGGAAGCGAATTTAATTCCTGGGACCCACATGGTAGGAGAACCGACTCCTGAACATTGTTCTTTGATCTCCACATGCACGCACACACACACTTACATACATGTATACACACATACATGCATGCATACATACACACATAAATAAATAAATGTGGTTTTTGTTCCTTGTTTATTTGGGGGAGGTTATGTGTTTTTGAGAGAAGGTCTCTCTATTATGTAGCTCTTCTTGGAACACACTGTGTAGACCAAGCTAGCCTCAGACTCATAGAGACCCACCTGCTTCTACCTCCCTGGATTTAAAGGCATGTCCTCCCACACCCAGATAATAAATGCAACTTACATTTTTAAAAATAGAAATCCCAATATGGTGTTTCGGAAATATTAGAAAGGTTTTGTTTTAAATCTAGTTAAGTTCAAGCAGAAATCATCAATCTTTTATCAGAGACAGGTCAACCTAGGAGACATTGGCATGCTGTCACTACTAACAACCTCTCTAGAAAGATAGAGTAGGACCTAAGACCACCCATCACCTTCTGATCTGTGGAAACCCACCAAAAACATATAAAGAGCTAAACTACTATGTGTTGTATAATTTTGAAAGGAGTAAAAGAAGATTTTGTCTACTTAGAAAAAAATATAACTAAGTAGCAGAATGATTGTGTTAGGAAACACATGCGCAGGGCCAGGCTCCAAGGCTCTTGGACAAAACTCCATGACCTCTAATGCTCTGGTGGACTCTTATTCTCTATGTAGTGCCCAAAATATTAACAGTATACAAGTCCCAGAATACAATACTTCAACTCTGTAAAAAAGAGACTGCTTCTGTAAAAATAAAAAACAAATAAACAAAAAACCTCATGATCCTTGGCCGCAAATACTTTATCTCTTGTGTTTAAGGACTGACCTAATTTCTCTACCCCATGCTTCATTGACCTTCATTATAAGGTTACAGCTTCTTTCTATTTCTTTCTACATGGATACTGACTTTGCTTGCATGCCAAAGTGTGCATACACATGTCCCCTTTAAATTTCATAACATGGTAAACAGACATGATGTTACAAATTAAATGCCATCCTTTCAGAATTTATACAGTGAAGCTCTAAGCCCCAAGACCTCAGAATGCAGCCTTCCTTGGGAGTAGTGTCCTTGCGGATACAATTACTTAAGATGAGGTCATATTGAGTGAAGTAGGGTGGATTCCTAACCCCACACAACTGAAGATGACTGAAAAGCAAAAGGGAAGATGTAAAGAGACACCAGGAGAGATAGCTTTCTACAAGGACAGGAGAAAACATCTACAAGCATCTAGAATAGATCCTTCCCGCAGAGCCTGCCAACGGCTGGACTTTGGGCCCCTGGCTCTCAGATCTGTAAGGCTGGTCACACTGAGATTCACACTACCCAGTTTAGGGCATCAGCTATCACAACTCTAGCATTCTAGGATATGTGCATGGCATCTTTGGGCCCCTTAACTTGTTTTGAGGAACAGATCTCACTCAGTGAAGAGCTGCATATAGACACTGCTTCATACATTTGAATGGTTTAGGGCATTCTTCTGCTAATATATTTCCTTATGTGTATTGATTTGAGGTACCCCCCCCCCCCCCCCCCTTGTTCCTAAAAGCACCACTGCAGTCTATCTTTACCATGTGTCTTATCGCAGATGCGTTGTGTGTCTCTTCTGGGTAGATACTTAGAAGTAGAACTTCTTGGTGAAAATGTTTATATAATATAGTAAGAATACAAGTAAGTTATTAGCCAGAAAGTTGTGTAAACAGCTCAGGTATAAAAGGAGGAGATGCCACTCCTATGTGGATTTTAGACATAGAGTAAAGGATTACCAGCCTACAATCTACACTGACTGAGAAAACTAGTAAACAAGGAGGACCCTAAAAGAGACAAACATTGTCCCCTGGAGAAGAGGAAAGGGTCACAATCCCCTGGGCAAATTGAGAGCATGGGAAGAGAGGGGAGGGAGCTATGAGAATGAGAAGGGAAGAAGAGGAAGGATGCAGAGGTCATGAGGGAGCAGAAAGGTTGAGTCAGGGGAAAGAATAGAAGAAAGGGTATGTGATAGGTAGGGTTTTAGTTGGGGGGGGATGGTAGGGGAGGAAGGGAGGGAGAAGGGAACTGGGATTGTCATGTAAATCAATCTTGTTTCTAATTCAAATTAAAAAATTATATAAAAAAAAGGAGGAGATGCACTGGAGTGGTATGTGCATGGGGGTGGGTGGGGAATTAGAGCGTGTTTTGTTGTTGTTGTTTTGTTTGTTTTTCGAGATAGGGTTTGTCTGTGGAGCCTATCCTGGCACTCGCTCTGGAGACCAGACTGGCCTCAAACTCACAGAGATCTACCTGCCTCTGCCTCCCGAGTGCTGGGATTAAAGGCGTGCGCCACCAACACCCGGCTAGAGCATGCTTTACAAACACTAATGAGCACATATGCTACTACGTAAAGGAGCCATGAGATAGGTCATATGACCAGCACCCTGGAATTCACCTAGCACCTCTGCTCTGACCAGGAACACATTTCCTCCTACACACAGCATTCCGAAGGGAGTTTAGAAGTTCATGTATGTGTATCCCACAGACAGTGGTGGAGTACCAGTTACACGGAAGCACCCAGTTAACCTCTTGCGGACTTCTAGAAAGACCTCCTTCCTGGGGAAGAGGAAGCCTTGAGGACACTTTTCCCCACTCTGACCTGGCAGCCAGTTATTTTGTTCCCGAGCTTTTCCCCATTGTTCCTCTAATCACAAATCTAGAAAACTGCCTGAGCCTTCTGACAGAGTTCTCTCGACATAGAGAACAATGGCGCCATGCCTGCGCTGACCCACCCTCCACCCCTGTGTGCTCCGAGGGAGGAAATGGATGAGCAGGAATTGGCACCCTCTCTGGTTTCTGCTTCTTGTCTATACTATTTGTAAGTGTCTAAATATTTCACTTTCATTTTGGCATGTGGCTTTAACTGGATACTCCCTCTCCTGGCAGCTTGGCTCTCTCCCAGCTCAGCTGAGCTCCTGGCATCCCCTTGGTAAGCCTGCCCCATTTCCATAGATCCCATCTCTACAGAACTAGGAAAGCCATATTCAAATCCCTTTGCCTACTGGACTTTGATCTCTGAAGTTCTCCACATTACTTAACCAGTCCCAGCAGGGTGGGGAGCTCAACCCCGCAGAGTGCCTGTGTGGCAGCCCTTTTATACAGGTCATCTTGTCCAGTGTTCATAATTATTACCATGCAGTCAGGCCATTGCTCTCCTTTCTCAGAGAAAACTGGCTTCTTCAGACTTTCCCCAGTATCAGCTGGGACCTGCCTGCCCTGCTCTGTGCTCCATCCCATGCCATCTCCTCAAGACGATAAGCCCCACCCTTGCCCAGCTCCTGCGAAGGCAGCCTGGGACCCTGAAGCAGAGGTGTGTGTACCTTAGGGTCTTCCTTCACTGCCTGGAAGAGGTCATCCTTCAGCCCCTTCTGGCAGTGCTCACAGGAGCAGTCAAAGTAGTACTGCTTCCTCAGCTGCCGCCTGCGCTCCTCGCTGAGGTGGAGAAAGTCAATGTACGATACCGTCAGCTCCTCACCTTCCGAGATCTTGCCCAGGGCCCGGAGCTCAATTCTGGAGCAGGACAAAAGGGAATCAAAGACAACCTATGATCAGCATTCTCCAGGGGTTCCAGGAACCCAGTTTCAAAGACAACAGCTTCCAGTAAGACTCTGAAAAAATGCCCATGGCCTCCAGAAAGCTCACAACCTAAAGCAGAGTTGTCACACACATTTCAATGTCACATCTGCTCAGTTCAGTTAACTTTTCTGGAATCAGTTAAAAAAAAAAAACCCATAAAGGACCAGACTTGGTCTTAAAGCTCTACATATCATGTATGTCCAGTTTCATACACTCAGCTACTGATCTGTAACAGAATGAGAATAATACCAAAGAGAAAACAAGACAAGATCTAAAAATCACTTCCTTAGTTTGGAGACTACATTCTCTGTAATATACATGCTGAGCTGCCACCATCTTGGCACATTCTGTACTAAACCTTAACCCCCTTTACTTTATGCTTCTGTTCAATGGTTCAGGCCTACATTAAGTAAGAATTTATGCTCACTGGAGACCACCAAAGGAATCTGAATATAAAAAGGCTGGGATTGTTAGCTGATTCACTTTTGTGTTTGTTGGAACGTGGTGCTGACTGATTGTTAGCAACAGTTTTTCGTTTGTTTTTTGAGACAGGGTTTCTCCGTGTAACTGCCTTGGCTGTCCTGGAACTTGTCCTGTAGACCAGGCTGGCCTTCAATGACTGCAGTATTTTTTTTTTTTAAATTTCCTCTCAGACTAAGCATGATCCACCATTTACTCAGAAAACTACCCACCTTACTGTATACAGAAGGTGCCGAAGTTACAAGACCCCTGAACTGCCATCCATCCAGCAAAGCCAGCACAGTGCCTCTCAGCCATATACTTTCAACCACAAAGTCAGACTGCAAGAAGGGGAGTAGGAGGAGAGAAGGAGGGGAGGAGGGGGAGAAAGTAGTAATGACAAGGTCTGTGAGCTCAGTTCTCAACTGTGTTCCTGTATCCCCAGGAGCCTGGAGTCTCACTCCCGGGCAGGGATTCTTTGTCATCACCACTCAGAAAGAGTGTCAGACATCACCTGAAAATCGGGATCCCAGCACACCAGATTCAGAGGCAGCCCCTTCCTTGTCTTCAGAGAAGATAAACAAAGAAGGAACTGCTGAGTGGCAGGGATATGCAGGCCCAGATATCTGAGGTGACTACTTCAGGTTCCACAGCCTTTCCTATAAGTAGAGGACATGTGATAACATTGCAGGCTGGGCTCAGTAGAACAGTTATGCTAAGAATGCATAAGCCTTAGGCTGGCTCCCATCACTGAGGTTAGGATAACAGAGAAAGAGAACGAATGTGTATAAAAACAACTGAACAGAGTACTGGACAGCCTGAATGCCACCTTCCTCTTGCTCCTCTGTTCCCTTTGAAAGGGGCTCTATTCATATTCTATCTTAAAAGATGCACTTACACTCCATATTGTAGAAAGGAATCTGCATGTACATATTACTGATAACACTGGATTGTTTGTTCTGAGGTAACCACCACCAACACACACAGCCCGGATGTCCACTGAGCAGAACAAGGTCAATACTGACACACTAACTAGACCCAGTATTTCATGAAGTGCCTAGGCTCAAACATCCACAGACTGAGGTAAGAGTGCAAGGAATGATAACCAGAGAGACAGACACCGTCAGAGGCAGGGCTGACCACTGCCCAGAGGGCAAGACTGAGCTCTAGAGTGACTGCTCGCCTGGGTTCCTCCCACCCACATTATAATCTCCCAGCAGAGATGGCGTCTGAAGATGTAGTCTGCTGCCTTTGCAGACAATGCATTGGCTGTCTGGCTGGAGCACAGTTTAAATGTTAATCCCTGGTGGTGCCAGGCAGCCAGAGCTCTGCCATTCCAGGGACACTTCCCAGTTTTCAGTAAGAGCTGTAACTGAAGTGATAAAAGACAGGTGGGGAGGCAGGTCACGTGACCCTGCTCAAGGCCATGGGGAAACCCTGGCATTTCCAAGCTGCAGAGGACCCTCATTTCATAAAGAAGGCTGCCGATGTGAGACATGTCATTTCCCTCAAGACCCCAGAGCACTTGGGAGACAGAGACCAAGATTAGAATTCAGGAACCCTTTATCCCCTTCAGCCTGACAGCAGATGGCTTTCAGCTGCCTCTGGGGTCTGTGATTCATGGAGAAGGGCCTTGTTTTTAGAGTTCCACTAATGTTCTAAGATGTCCTATGGGAGCCACTCCTGGGCCAGTGAGGACAGTGGGTGGCTAGTGCCCAAGTGCAATAGGAAGGCAAATTGGAAGCATTCTTCTACTGAGTTATAGCTCCAGCCTCCATGTTCTATGTTTTAGGCATGACATATTTGGGGGAATATGTATTCCCCACTAGACCCTTTTTACAGAGCTGGCCACCATAGTGGCATATCATGATCCAGTGTGATTTGGTGGCAAATTGGTTGGTACTTCCAGAAACTCTGATTCCATGCAAGACCTCAGGAATCTCTGATTATTTAAATAGTGTGTGTATGGGGGGGGGATCAAAACCAGAGTGGGGTGATGCATGCTGCAATTTCAGCACTCTTGAAGATTATGAGTTTAAGGTCAGCCAGGGCTACAGAAAAAGCTCAGGGCCAGCCTGGATAAATCTGCAAGACTCTTTATCAAGAAAGAAAGACAGCCATGCGGTGGTAGCACACGCCTTTAGTCCCAGCACTTGAGAGGCAGAGGCAGACGGATCTCATTGAGTTTGAGGCCAGCCTGGTCTACAAAGTGAGTTCCAGGACATGCAGGACTGTTACACAGAGGAGTTACACAGAGAAACCTGTCTGGGAAAACCAAACCAAAAAGGAAGAAAGGAAGGAAGGAAGGAAGGAAGGAAGGAAGGAAGGAAGAGAGTTGGGGATAGGGAAGGAAAGGAAGAAGAGAAAAAATGAAAGATGACAAGGAGAAGAGGGAAGAAAAGGAGGAAGGAAAAGGCACAGGAAGGGAGGGAAAGGAAGAGAAAGAAAATTTCCAAAAAAGAATTAACTTTATGTCACAGAAATATGACAGTACGCCTATAATCTCAGCTACTCCAAAGACAGAGGCAATAATTCAAGGCCTGCCTGGATAACAGAGTTCAAGGCAAGCCTGGGAAGATTAGTGATGGTGGTCTCTATAAAAATTAGAAATGGGACTAGATACAACTCAGGGTTAGACTGCTTGTCTAAGAGCTGAGGCTTTGGGTTCCATCCCTAGGACTGGAAATAAGAGAGAGAGAAGAGGTAAGGGGACAGAAGAGGATACATAGGTCCTCATCCCATTTTACACTACAGATGTTTCTCAATACATAGCAGTGTGTGCCCCAATAAATCCATGACACAATGAAAACACTATAAGCATGCATTTAATACACCTAATGGTACTTAGCTTCACCTGCCTTAACTGTGCTCAAATCGCATGCAATAGGCAGGCAAAAATCAGCTAGCACAAAGCCTATTTTATAATGAAGAGCTGAATGTCTCCAATAGTTGGTTTATCGCTATACTAAAGGTGAGAAACCTCATAGTTATACCCTTACATGCTTGCTATCACCATAAAACATAAAAGCTGTTAAGGCAAGCCACCTTACATTAGGAACTATCTATATTCAGAATAATGAGCTGAGAGACAAACGGTGGTCAAAACAATCACTTAAAACAATCACTGCAGGAGCCAAGAATTGAAGGCTTAGCTGGCTCCTTCCCCCACCCAGCCTCCTTGGGCAAGACCCCTTCCATCTCCAATACTCTGCAGGTGAATAATGGAGCTTACCACACTGTCAGCAAACAACCCATCCAAGTGTTTCTTGCAGACATTAGGAACACAGCTAGAATGAAGGAGCCTTAGAACCTGGGAGGCCCTGAGAGTTGCTTTTTTGCTATTGTTTATTTTGTTATTTTGTTTAGTTTTATTTGTTTTGAAACAATGTCTTATATAGCCCAGGCTGTCTCAAGCTCATTTTGGACTCCAGGATGACTAGGAACTCCTGATTCTCCTGCCCTACTGCCCAAATGCATAATTATGCACTTTTGAGCTTCACACTACAGGTTTAGAACCCTAGCCCAAGACATGGTGAGCACTGTTCAAAGTCGTAAGCAGTACACACAGACACAGATAAACCAACCACTCCTGCCCCTCACGCCAAAGCCCAAACTTTGAAATGCAATTTTTGTTTGTTGTTGTTGTTGTTGTTGTTGTTGTTGTTTTCCAGACAGGGTTTCTCTATAGCTTTGGAGCCTGTCCTGGAACTAGCTTTTGTAGACCAGGATGGTCTTGAACTCACAGAAATCCGCCTGCCTCTGCCCCCCGAGTGCTGGGATTAAAGGTGTGTGCCACCACCACCTGGCTGGAATACAACATTTTAAATCCAGATACCTCTGTGGTCATCATTTTAAAAAAGTCCAGAGGACATGGAATTTGGGATAACCAGGCCATAGTCACTCAAAATGACTCCAAAATAAACAATTTCTTATTCCTTTTAAGAGAAGAACTGTGGATTTTGAATCAATAATCATGGCGCCACAACATGAGATTCTGAAAATGTTCCACTTTTCACCAGAGGAATCAGCTGAACAGGAGCCAAGTACAGACATGGACCCATTTTGTCCAGACCATCTGCTGTTACTTCTGGTAAACCAGCCTGCCTCCATCTTAGACTTAAAGGCCATCTTATAGTAAAGACAAACTAGGTTCATTTCTGTTTATGATTAAATCTGTTTCTCAAGGATTGGGCTATGCCCCACCTATGACCTGAACTACAAATGGTTCTGTACTGCCTGCTCCAGGAAACAGTAACCATGTTTTTGCTTCAAGAAGTCATAATGACCATCTTGCAACCCAACCTTTTCTTCAAAAGATTATTGTGACTACCTATTGTTACCGCTGCTGCTGATTACCTTGTTAGAAACACCTTGCAATCATGTCTTTGTTTCAAAAGGTTGTGATGATCAATTTACTATGCTTACATTCTGCTCCTATAATCCAGTGTATTTTCCCCCTGCTTGGAAACCCCTGA